TTTTACTTATCTATTACATCTATTGGAGTTTTTGAAGATCCATCCCTAATTCTACATGTCTCTTCATAAGCCACATGAGATTATCAATATCTTGAGAAAAAGATAAACGCCACTTTTTCCTATAGAAGTGAATAATAATCAAGAGTTTAAGGTGAAAAAAGTCTTAGATTCAAGGTGGCACAAAAATAGGTTGAAATATCATATTCATTAGTGTAGATATGATATTAGTAAATACACATGAAAGCCAACAAAGAATCTTGCAAATGCAACAAAGAGAGTTGAAATTTTTTATTGATGACATGCATCAAAACCAAGTTGAAGAATAGCAAGATCCATGAAAGATGATCATCACTCTTTGTAGAATTTGTCCTTAGAAAGAAAAATAATATGACAAAAATTCATATTTATTCTAATAATTATTTATATTATTAAATAGAAGTAAGTAAAAATATAATAATTTCATTGTATCTTCTAGAAAAGCTTCTTAGAAAATTTATAGACACGTTTTTGACTTTATGCATATTTGTAGTTGATTGGTAGATTAAAACTTAGTCAACAAGTTAACCATATATCATGCATTGTCATATTATGTGTTTTCTTGCTTGAAAATACATTGGGCATGTAGCCATAGAAGATAAGTAAAAATATAAGAATAATCCACCTAAATCTACTAGAATTTTAAATAACCTTAAGTAAATCTTAATAATCTTGATCAAATTTTGATTGATTTAAAATAAATTTGAAAAAAGTTATAAAAGAAAAACAAAGAATCCTAAAGAATTATTAAAAATAAAAATCTTAATATAACCTTAATTAAAACTTTAATTTAATCTTAATCAAATCCTAAATCTAATCCTAGTTCAAATCCTAATTAAAATCTTAATTGAATCTTAATCAAATCCTAAATAAAGTCCTAATAAAATCCTTATTTAAATCTTAATTGAACCTTATTAAAATTCTAAGTCAATCCTAATTGAAACTTAACAAAATCCTATATCAAATCTTATTTGAAATCCTAATTAAATCTTAATCAAATCCTAATGAAATCCTAAATCCTAAACAAATTTTAGACCAAATCCAGAACCAAATCCTAATCAAATCCTAAATCTTAAAGAAATTATTAACAATCTTATAGTAAATAGAACTTCATGAACTAATTTTCAAACCATTGATATTAACTCATAATTTGCACTCTTTTTAGTATCTTAATTAGAAAAAAATATAAGAAAGATGAAATCAATTGCACTTACTAATTGAAAGAAATGCAAGATAATCCAATTTGGCCTCTTATTTCAATCTAAACGTTGAACTTTCAATGCTAATATATTATTTTTGAATTATTTAATTACCTCTAAATTTCATCTAAAATGTTGGAAAGTACGTTTAGTATCCATAAAAAAAATTAACTCCAATCCAATTAACATATTACTAAAAAACTTTAAAATATTCACTAATCCTCAAATTCCAATTTTTGAGACCTTGACCTACAAAAACCTTCACATACTTTGATCTAATTGTTTGATTGATCTCAAAATTTTTACACACATTAACAACTAACATATCAATTTACTACTCAAAATTCATCTGTATGCACACTACAAAATTCAAGAAAACCTCAAATTTGTAAATAAATTAATATTTTTTAAAATCTAAACTGACCAAGAATATTGTTAATTTTGAAAATCTCTCAAAATTTTAATATTGATTCAATTGATATGAAACCAATGCCCAAAAAATCTTTTCTCTAGTTTTCTCTCAAACTCTATTCTTTAATCTCCAAAAGAACTCTAGAATCACCATAGGTGTGTAATTTTGTGCCTCAAAGTCTAGTTTCAACTGAAATTGATAAGTGGTCTTTTTTAGGTATCAATTCTTAGATTCTTGAGGTAAGTTTTACTAAAATATACTCTTAAATTTTTCTTATTTATGCTTATATTATTTAATTTTCTAATCTACTTTATTTTATATTATTTATGGCCCTACAAAGTAAGTAGAAGCCTATTTTGTAAAAAAGCACCATTGACACTCTTTAGTTTTACTATCTTTTTTACTATTATTTATATTTCTAAGATAATTTTTTAATATATTTTAAAATAAAATATTCTATAATATAATATTTTCTTCTTTCTTTCATTTACGAGCCGTGTTATATCACAACAACATATTGATAGCTTTTAGAATAAGCTAACTATGTGGTGCACATATAGAAGAGTTGTCTTATAGGTTAAGATATGTTTTGCAAAGTCAACATGTATTGGAAGTCCTATAGAACATTGTCACATAGTTCATAATTAGATAATATATAAAGAGGCAAAAGTAAAGCCTTCTTCATTCTTATCAATGTCTTTCTAGTATTTAGTCTTGTTTTATATCTTTTTAGTCTTTAGCAATAACCATTCTAGTTTAATATTATATCATCTTTGAATAATTATCTAGTCTTTTTGAGTGATATAAGAAAATTTTGATCTTTCAGTTCTTCAAGTTTTAATTCTTTGATAGACTTATAGAACTATGTCAATTTATCATGGCATTCCATATTAAACAATCTTTTATTTAAATCTTAATAGAAGTATAGATACAATCTAATTTTAAGTAAGTAAATTAAGTTTGAAGTTGCTATATATAAAGATATGTTGAATCAAGTTCAAATAATTATTTTTAAAAAATAAATTTGTCACAAATTTAGTAATCTTGTTATGTTCCACTTTTTTTTAATATAATACAGTATTTTTTTTATATTTTTTTGTACTCTTTGTTTTCAATATCATAACAAAGATAATGAGTAGGATTTATTCTATGTTTACAAATAATTCCAAATGGTTGCCATTTATAAAATCATTAATATATTTTAATATGTATAATTTTTAATAATAAAATTTTAAATATGATAATATTAGTATTAAAAAATTTATTTGATTATTTGAATATTTATTAGAATTTAGAATAGTTTATGACTAACAAGAGCCGTATTAGAAAAAAAAATCTATTAGAATTGAGTCTTAATAAGTCTTAGAAGCAATTATTTTAGTTGATTTAGTATTTTTTTTTTAATAGTGAGAATTAATATTTAATTATTAAGACCAATATATACATTGGCCATCTATCTACATATATTACTTATTCAGAACCTATAAGTATTAGTTGGTAGGTAGAAGAATTATAAAAAAGAACTTTGTATCTTTTTAATAATATGTGTAATAAATAGGATTTCATTAGAATTAAATTAATTATATTACTATAAAAAAATTATTAAGGTTTTAAAAAGCCTTAAATTATTATTAAAATATCTAAAATAATAAAATAATTATAATTTACTTAATTTTTTAAAAAAAAGTTATAAATTTTTTACAGCAATTTTTTAAAATTTTAGTAGAAATAATTTTTATCATCTTGAAAAGTTACTATAAAAGACTTGAGTTAGATTTGAAGGTCTTACAAGGTTTTTAGGCTAATTGGGTTTTTTTAATTATAATAAAATTAATAAAATATAAATATATACTAACAGAAAATATGAGGATTAGCAACTATTATAGTAATTATTGAAGAGAAGTGTACATGTCTCATACAGGGTGTTGCACCTTGGATGTAGGTACAAATATAAGACCAAGGCCTTATGGCCTATCTAGGACATCTACATAAATTATTTATGAACCTAAATGACAATTGATTTCATGATCTCTTAAACAAGTTATTCTTAAGATAAAATACATTCACTTAATTTTTTTATTATTTTTTCTTCTATCTTTAAATTATTATAATATATGCATAATTAATTAAATTTATATATTATTGAAAAAATCAAAATAATTTAATTAATATTTTATTTTTTATTCTTACTTTTTATTAAAAATAAATATAACAAAAAATCTAAAAAATAGTTTTTTGAGTGTATAATTTCTTAATTGTATTTCTTTTGCTTACTATGTGCTTGTTCTTTTTTATTTTTTATCAATTGTATCTTTTACTTTATACCACCAATTATAAGAAACTTCTAATTTAAGGCCATCTTAAAATTTGGATTAAGGGGTGAATTTTACCTTTACAACATCTCTTAAAGTTAATGTCTAGTAAGAAATTATTATTGCTACACTCTTTTTTATGTATAAAATATATATTGCAATGTGTAATTATAAAACATTAGTTGATACTTTGATATATTTATTGATTGATATCATAGATTTCTAAATTAATATCCAATATTTTTGTTACAAAGTATTATAATTTATATTCTAATTCAAATTCTTTCTAATATTTTAGTTTATATTTTAGTTTTGATTTCTATTAACATTAATTTGATGCCTTATAAAGAATTGCTTTCATACTACAAACTTCTAAAGTAACTTGTCTAAACTTCTTTTCTACATTACTTTTGTTTAAGCTAATTTATTTAAATATCTTATTATATTTTTGTTCTAACAATTAACAATATTTCTAACATTATTTGTAATTTAACAACCTATCTATGCAATATATGAACATAAATTTCTTAAATATAATCAGTTTTCAAGTTTTAATTTAAAACTTATATTTATTAGTAATTAAGTATTTTAAAAATAATTGTCTTTGTGTAAAATAAATTTATGATATAGTAATTGTATATTATATTTTAAGTTTCTAAGAGAGACTTCAGCAGTAATCTACTTGAATTTGTATTTTATTTACACTTTTTTTTAGATATTTGTTTTATAGTTTGGATTTTTTTAATATTTGTTCCAATTAATTATTTTTATTTAAATTAGATGTGTTGTAATCCTATGTTTAAAAAAAAAATTTATCATCATAATTTAAATTTTAAAATTGCAACAAAAAAAGAAAAATGGTTATTCAAAAATTGTTGGATTTGGATTATTTGAAAGTTGTGTTTCTTTAAGTGTTTAGAACATTCAAAATACATGATTGTCATAACAATAGATGTTGAAGACAGTAACTTGAAAACCCATTACAAGCCCATTGAAGAAAGTGATACCAAATTAGTTTGACAGTATCGACAGTACAATCTCTTGCAATGAAGAATGTTATAGGGTTGCAATGTGAGGAGTTCGAGGTGGAAATAGATAGTTGTAGGTCACTTGTGCCCAGAAGCATGGGCAAGGGGGAAGGGAACGGTGACAGACGCTTGATCGGCGTGGTGAGCGGGAGAGGGCTGGAAGGACCGATGCGCCTACCAATTCTGTTATGCTTCTTTTCCAGGCAATGGTGAGAAACATTTATTTGGATTTGTGTGCAGCTTCCGCCCTCACCCTCCTTCGCCTCGGCGCCTCCACAACATCAATGGCCGTCACTAGCAACAGGCACTCTAGTTGTCTGCTAAGCAAGACCATCTCGTGTGTCCTATTGTTACCACAAACCGAAAATGCCCCGAATACACAACATGGCACCCCTCGGAATGCCGCAAATTGGTGTTAAAATTGCTCTAATGGATTACAAGGCACTGGCCAGCTCCTACCTAGGAGCTTGCTGTGCTAATTTTTCACAAATCATACAAAGACATTGTCCAGTGGTTGATTGAGGCCGGTAGTCATGTGTATGAACTCATTCAGAAATCTAGGGCTTGAAGAAGAGAGTAAATTACGCAGACTCCTTCTTCACTTCCCTCTCGCCAACTTCCTCGGCTTTGTTCTCCAACGCATTCGCAGTGTCTTCAACGGTGTAGCCAAACTCTTCAGCCAGAGGCTCAGCGTCTTTCCTCGCAAGCTCATCGACGTCGGCTGTGGTATCCACAGACATGTCGGAGGCAACGTCCACGACCTTCTCCCGTACGTCGGGAGTGTAAGAAGCAGTGTCGGAAGCGTCTTCTGCCTTGGCGTCCAATACTACAGGGCTCTGCCCGTTGGCGAGCCGGTTAGCGTCTTCGGCGACTTGCTTACTGGACTCCACTGCCTTCTCGGAGGCGAGCTCACGGATACTGTCGCTGTTTGAAGCACGCATCATAGGCACGATACTTTGTTTTCCGATTAGTTTGAACGAAAGCTTCTTCACGAGCTGTTCGCGCAAGTGGAGTCTGCAATTTGAAGAAGTGAATAACTCCCCAGAGGTTCGTGTTTGGGCAACAGGTGAATTGCATAGCGCGTGGGCTGTGCTGCATGCCAACATCGCTGCCATGTTGCCAATTCTTCACCTGAGTGAGGTGAAAATTGTCGATGTATCTATCAAGCGTTTTTTTTGTAAAGGCTTGTTTGCTCCTTATCTGCAATTCACAAAGTCACCATCAGCGACAGGAATCCACTTCGAGTATCTGCAAATGCTTCTGATGTTCTATATTCTATGACAATGCTCAATCGAAGACTTCGCTTACACCGTGCGAATTTCTAATTCAAAAGGTCGCATTGCCAAAACGTAAGGGCATCGTGATAAACTCCGAAACACGATCTAGAAGAATTGGTCACACTAATATTGCAATTGAAATGTGGCTAGCAGATAAGCGGGTCACCCCAAATAGCCACCTATCCAAATTGACAAACTCTATCTGCAGTACGCTGCAATCGAATTACACCAAACATCAGAGATAAATAAGTACCTTCAGTGACTTCGCCAGTCAAGGTTGTCGAAGTTGAGGTATTCGGGATGATTGAACCGAGAGTGGAGATTGCTGAAATGGTAAGTCCGAGCGCTTCAATTTAGAGGTCATGGAAACAGCCTCTGCCACACGTCGCCATGGATTCCATATGAACGCTGGGCCCTAGGATATGTGCCAAGTGTGTGTGCGAGGGCTTCATAATGGCACCAGCACTTGGCAGCTTGGAATTTGGAGACCGTGAAAAGACTGTCTTTGTTAAAGTGTAAATGCGAACTATACACGCGGCAAATTTAAGAAATATGATAGAACTTGACAGTTGAAGTTGTGTTGGAAGCAAAACTGCGTCGAGTCGAAGAGTTTAGGATATGATCTATGAAGCAGGAGTGCCTTAAGGTTCTTACCATATTACAAAAGCCAAACAATCTTGTGTGTAAAATCTGTCGTGCCCTGTCTCCATGACATACAAACTGTGGATATTATATTTCCTGTTATTGAAGGAGCCGGCAGTTGTACAAAATTCAAACTCCACAACTGCACTGCGTCTTAACATCCTCATAGTAAATAAGAAACATCATCACGTGTAACACGTTGAAATAACTTCGATTGTGTAAATCATGGCATGGCTAGTGTCGCCTAATGTAGGACGGTGCCTCAGAGTTTCCATTGGATTCGCAAACACTCAGGATGGTAGTAGATCTCTTGTCAGCGAATGTCTATGAAATTTTTTGCTGGAGAGGTCACGGGAGATTCAGCATGCTAATGCAGCGTCGGTAACACAGAATTATAACCAACAAGTACAACCTCCACCTCAATTTCGTAGCTGAATGCCAGTGCCTTAACAAGTTCGGTGGTTTTCAACCAAATGTCAAAAATTGAGTGCAAAGGGAAGATTCCACTCTGCTATTCACCCCTAGTTATCCGACTACTGTGGCGTCTCCGAATGATAACAATCTTTCTGGCGTCTGGTTCGGCATGCGTCATCGGAGTCGCCACCTTTTTCATGTCTCTTGTTCCGATCAGAATTAAGATTCTGTATTGCAGTGAGGGTTGGACATATTCTTTGTGCAACAGATTGGGTTCAACGTATGCCCGAAGGCTTCAGTTGTGATTCCTGTTGTTGTGTGAAAGTGCCAGTAGTGCCTCTACCTTTGGAACTGTCATTGGTAAGAGTGAGTGCGGCCATGGCATCAAGGTGCCTGTGTATTTTCGAAATTGTAACTTGCATCAATATGAGATGTGATGACCTCGTCTCATATTCTTATGGTCCTCAACAGTCACCTAAGTAAGCCACCAATCTCCAAATAATATTAGTCTATGTAACATTGTCTCATAGTTTTTACCATCATATGTTATTCTGTTTAAGTCAACTTTTTAAGTTAGTCACGACTGTGTAACTTGAATTATTCATGTGGGCCTCTTTGAGTCACTTGAGAATACTTCTTTACCAATCTAATTTCAAAACTTAAGATTTCATGCTTAGGGCTGTGAGGTCAATGTTGTGTTGATGATATGGAAGAGAGTCTCTTTATGGAATGTTTAGTAAATGGTTGTAACTTAGCAATTTATAAAAATATATAAATATTACATAGTTAAAACTTGAAACCACTTCTAATAATAAAATTTAGTCTACAAAGGAGATAAAAATCACATTAATTCTAAAAGCTTCAATTTAGTCAATATATTAAATCAAATCCCTTTTGCATTTTGTCAATTTATTCTCACTCATTTTATATATAACTATGATATTTTTTTTCTATATTTTTCTATATTTAAATGCATGTTGTCCTCTATTGCCTTTATAAAATATAATTTGTTGTTGAAGGATATACAATTCTTTCTTTTTTAATTCACTTGCTACCTTAAATTAAATCTTTATATCAAGTTTAATACAAAAGACCTTTAGATGTATTGTTCATAAACTACCAAATCAATTGTATTAAGATTAAATTCACAAATGAAAGATGGATAGTCTACTTTGTTATATTTATATCTATTTAATTTTAAAAATTATTCAAATTATTTATTATGAACTATATTAAAAAACCGTTCTAATATCTTCTATCAAATATGAATTATTCTTTTAATTATATTGCATGATCTTATAAGATGAAACATCTTCAAAATATATATATATATATATATATATATATATACATTATAAATACTAGAGCTTTGATTCTAAAAGTACATATTAGACATACATTCTATTTATAATTACACTACATTTGCATTATTGATTGTATACCAAATTTAAAAAGATTCTCAAAACTTTATTTTTAACATGTAAGTCTTCTTTTAGCACATCAAAAAACCTTAAAATTCATCCAACTTTGTCCAAATAGTTCTCACTATCTAAACACAATGCATCATCTTAATACAAATCATTCTTTTTTTATTCTTTTTAACTAAATTTATTATAAATATTCAACATTGTATTCTAATAAAACCACACAATAAAAATATTGGTAAAGATCCATAATATATAAAAAAGTACTTAAGCAAAAAAATTTAAAATTTTTTTATAAGCCTATTAGCTAATAAATCAAAATAAGCTATATTATTGTATTTTATGCTACTTTTTATATTAAAAGAATATTTTATTACTTTTATAGGTCTATATATGGATAAAAATAAAGTATGGTATGCAAATAAATAATTCTTCATAGTAAAGACAAAATTAAAGATAAGTTCTTATAAATTTTATTATAAATAAAATAACAATTATACTTTAAAGATGACCATTTGTGAAAAAAGATTAAACTTTAACATCAAGATCCAAAAATAAAGACTTACAATAAATATAGAGTCTTTTACAAGGTTAAGAGATGGCTTAAAGATTTAGTTTTAAGAGCATTTTAAGATTCTAAATTTTATAAGATAAATATTTGAAAAAGTTCTTTTATAAAATAGTTAAAATTGAATTTTTTTTCCAAGCAACACAGTGTCAAAGTTAAGAGTGTAAAAAAATTGTGAAAGACAATATGTTTTTATATTACTAAAGAAGAGAGAAAGTAAGCAAAGAAGAGGTATATAAAAGTTAGAAATTAATTGAAATGGCTATTATTAAAAATGAAAAAATAAAATTGTCTTGAATCAAGCTTTAAAATATAAAATAGATATGATAAAAATAAAGATAGTTTTATTTTTGTCTTTACATATTATGCACGATTTATATATTTTTTTTCAAAAAAATAATAAAAATAATAGAAGATAGATAGAAACAAGTTAGGTAGATAATGTCTCTATTGAAAAACTTCAAGTAAGTTTACTACACAAGAATTAGAAATTTACACTTTTATAGATATACTATATGACTATTAAAACTTGTCATATAAATTTCTATTTTTATAAATTTTTATTGAAAGAAACCAACAACTTAATACTACGGCCATAAGCCTTGAAATTTTAAGAAGCTTCTATAAGTTCTATTTGAGTGTTAATGTATAAGAGTCAAAATTAAAGCCATTCTTAGTCTTTTCAATATCTTTTATGTATTCCAATCTTGATTTAAGACTCTAGGTTCTTTATAATTGACAATAGAAATTTTAATTATTTTTTATCTAATATTTATTTTTAATTTGACTATTTTTTCTATTTTAATAATATAAAAATATATTATCTTTTTAAAAAAATTCTTGATTTATTGTAATAAAAATTTAATAAGAATACTAGTTTTTTATAGTTTTATTTAAGAATTGAGTAGAATACTCTACTATTTCTTTTAAAAGTTAAAAAGTATTCAATTTTTAATTAATTTTTTTTTATTATTTTATTTTTTAGATATTTTCATCTAATATTAGAGATTGTAGATTTTCTTTTAATTTGACTTATGTGCTTGCTAGTATTGTCTAATTTAAATATAAATTAACTTAGATAAAAATAAAATAAGCTATAGATGCCAGATTTGGTGGAAGTGAGAATTGATATGGAACAATTGTAAATCTTTATAACCTTAATAATATTATTTAAGCATAAATTTTTTATATTAATAATCTCATCTATGGAAGTATTATTGCTACTCATATAGAAAAAATCAACATAGAAGTTTATCATTTATTTCAAGAAATTATATAATTAAAAGAAGTAAGTATAAGTAGATCAATTTTATAAGTGAATTATAAAGATCTTACTATCATAAGTAATAAAGAGACAAAGATGTATATATTAAAAAATTAAATAGAATAAGATCAAAATTTTAAATGCTTTTATAAAAAGTCGAATTCTTCTTACTATATCTTTCTTGATACTTTAATAATAATATTTAAGTTAGATTTAGAAAAATTCTTCTATCTAGAAGTGTTCTTATTTTATTTATACTTTTCACAGAAAAACATTTTCAACATTCACATCATTTGTATTTATTTTGATGACATTTATGGGCTATATGTTAAAATAAAAATAAAAACTAAAATAAAGAAGTAAAAAAAAAAATCTAGTATTTGTAACAAAAATTATATTCAAGTACAATTTATGTTGCTAAATTATAAGAAATTACTTAGAACATGGATTTAAATAATAAAATTTTTATCAATCAATTTTTATATGATTAAAAAAATAATGTCAAAGCTAAACTATTGACGATGTCAACAAAAAATTAATTAAAATATTTTATTATGTAAATAATTGCATGCAACAATTAACTCTTTAAAAGACCTTTAGGAAAAAATTTGAATAGTGAAGAACAAATCAAAAAATAATAACCAATTTAAGATCTATAAAAATATATTCATCAAAGTATAGAAACTATAAAAATTAATACAATAGGATTCAAGCAATTAACATTAAAAAAATCAAAATGCTAAAACAAATTAATTTTATATTTTCAAAATAATGTCAAAAAATACAAGGTTATAGCATCAAATTAAGTGAATTCAATGCACAAAGCATAAAATCAAACATAAAAAATTAAAAAAATAAAGAAATTTAATTTTAAAAATTAATATTAAAAGTTGAGAAAATTAGATAGTAGAGAATAAATTAATCTAAGAGTTTGGTAGGTTATTTTCCAAATTTTTTTAATTAAAGTTTATTAAAAATTTCTCTTGTTAATTTAAAGAAATTTCTTAGAATATAGAATATACAATCAAACTTCATTGTAAAAGTCATAGTCCATTAATAAATAGGCCAAGTCTTATATAATCTAATTTATCATAAGTTCAAA